ATAGGGACTGAAATCATCTCAATCGGAGGTTGGATGGCGGAGATATCACGACGGGAAGAAATGGAAATTTCGAAACTTCCGCCGGCGATTGCGGCTGATTCCGGCGGGGTTGGAGGTCGTGCCGCATGTCGTTGAACTCAGCTCGTCGAGATCTTTCTATTGACACCGGTGGTGTCAAAAATGGAGGTCGGAATCTTAACTTGAGTATTTGGCCATTGATGGTTTGTGTGAGAGAAAACGTGAGAGGAGAGAATGAGCGAGAATAAGAGAAAGAAAGTGTAAGAACCCTAAAAATTTCACTATATAAAGTATCTGATTAAGGCAAGATTACGTGCCTGATCTTATCCTCAATTATTTCCTCTAAACAGATTAAATTTATACTGATTAGAGGTAATTAGTTTAGCTCACGTAAGTTAATCTACTACTTACAGTCCAATATCAATTTCTGAATAATTCAATATTGTTTTATATTCTTACTCGCGTAATATTTCAAACTGTTTCAAGTCTTGAAATTAATTTTAGACTGAACAAATTCTAAATTTTAATTTTCTGTATTCTATCCCGAGAATGACATTTCTGACAGTGTCAACTCCCGAGCTCATATTGTATCCATCTACTATAGGTATTTATCTTGTGACTTTAACCTAACTGTCTGGCAATTAAGGATTTTTTTTTTCTTCTTTTAAAATGTTAGTGCGTTTTTTTTTATACGCCGCTAACATCGTGCCGTGCTTAGAGATTCTTGAAATTAAGATTCTCAAACTATACTTGTACTGAAAATTATTCCGCCTTAAAATACTGCGAGAATTTATCGATCGAATTTACTTGATCGAAACATGAACTTAACATGAAATTTGCTATAGAATTTAGGAATACATATATTAATTCCATAAATCCTCCATTCACAATATAACATAATATTTTCTAAGAAAATCATTGGCTTAAAAATACATGAATTGTATTATTTAAGGTCTGGAATTTTCTCAGTCATTATATTTACTGTAGCAAAACTCAAATTCTAAACTCGAATTAGCGAAATGAACGGGGCCTAATACAACATCTACAAACCTTTTTAAAAAAAAAAAAAAAAAACATGAGAATGTTTTTTCTCTCACCTTTTTTTTTTTTTTTTTTCTTATCCTCCCTAAAATTTAGGTTCCAAATACACCCTAAAAGAAAATAGGATTTAATTACTTTGGAGCTATATTTTTTTGATGAATTTCAATATTTACTTATAAAAATTCTTGACCGATTTTATCTATACTTAGTAAATCAAATATTTAGTGACTAAATTAATTGGTGTTATTACAATATGCAATTTTATTATAATAAAATTTTTTTAAAAATAATTATATTTAACTTTTTTATTATAATAAAATTTTTTTATATAAAATTATATTTTAATTTAAATTATAAATTTAAATTGACGAAGTAAACGCGCTTTTAGTGGACTAACTCCTTTCTTCCACAGGAATTAGGTTCCTTTATTATAAAGAAGCCACTTTTTCTTTTTCAAAATTCACAACGAAACTTTTGTCGTTTTTCAATCATTACTAATTACTGAAGACACTTTTTTCTCTCTTTTTTCTCTCTTGAAAATTCCTCTACAGCTTTTTCATAGCGCACAAACAAAGTCGCAAAATATTATTCTAAGTAAAGGTTCTGAGAGGTTCATAAAACCAACTCCTAGTTCTTCTGCAACACTCCATTGTGAGGAAAAGCGAAGAGAAAAATATCTCCAATATGATTTGAAGATTACGTCTTCTCTTCCAACTGTAAGTTTTTTTTTTTTTTGTTTCTTAATTAAATTTCTATGTCATAGCTTGTAATTACTGAATCATTTTACTCTATCTCTTTATTCAAGAGACTTATTTTTCTTTCTTGGAAAATCATATCTAGCACTTTCTTATATAAAACTTCACATAAAAAAAAAGTCTTAACGAAGAAAAGGTGATCTGTAATAGGTTCATAACTAAAACTCATATTTCTTCTCCTTTTTGCTTGACAGATCAGAGAAGAAGATAGGGAAAGGTCTCTCTTCAAAACTTCATTTTTGCTGACAACTTCTCTCGCAACAGTAAGATATATTTATTTTTTATATCGTATGATCTCCTCATTTGAATTGTTCTCCTTCTTCTTCTTCCTTTATTTAAGACTTTCTTTTTTACTTCTTGAAAAATAAATAAATAAATAAAAGATACATTTGCCTCTCTTTTTTTTTTTTCCTCATATTTCTTCTTCTGTATTTTATAGAGAGCACGACTTCCATCTCGGTCTCTCAATACCATCTTGTGATCAAGAGGGAATCAGCAAACATGGCAGAACTGGTGGCTGAAGCTTTTCTCACTGTTGCGTTTGAGAAACTATTTAAACTGTTGGCTTCTCAAGAATTCAGGAGCTTCTTCCAGGGAAAGAAATCGATTGACGATCAGCTCGGGTTGTTGAATGAGAAATTAAAGACAGCTAGTCTGCTGCTTAATGATGCTGAAGATAAGCAGATCACTGACGACAGAGTCAAAGAATGGCTCGACGATCTCAAAGACGTCATTTTCAGAGCAGATGACTTGGTGGAGGAGATCTGTAATGACTGAGAAAATTCCAGACCTTAAATAATATAATTCATGTATTTTTAAGCCAAAGATTTTCTTAAAAAATATTATGTTATATTGTGAATGGAGGATTTATGGAATTAATATATGTATCCTTAAATTCTATAGTAAATTTCATGTTAAGTTCATGTTTCGATCAAGAAAATTCGATCGATAAATTCTCGCCGTATTTTAAGGCGGAATAATTTTCAGTACAAGTATAGTTTGAGAATCTTAATTTCAAGAATCTCTAAGCACAGCACGATGTTAGCGGCGTATAAAAAAAAACGCACTGGCATTTTAAAAGAAGAAAAAAATCCTTAATTGCTAGACAGTTAGGTTAAAGTCACAAGATAAATACCTATAGTAGATGGATATAATATGAGCTCGGGAGTTGACACTGTCAGAAACGTCATTCTTGGGATAGAATACAGAAAATTAAAATTTAGAATTTGTTCAGTCTAAAATTAATTTCAAGACTTGAAACAGTTTGAAATATTACGCGAGTAAGAATATAAAACAATATTGAATTATTCAGAAATTGATATTGGACTGTAAGTAGTAGATTAACTTACGTGAGCTAAACTAATTACCTCTAATCAGTATAAATTTAATCTGTTTAGAGGAAATAATTGAGGATAAGATCAGACACGTAATCTTACCTTAATCAGATACTTTATATAGTGAAATTTTTAGGGTTCTTGCACTTTCTTTCTCTTATTCTCGCTCATTCTCTCTCTCCTCTCACGTTCTCTCTCACACAAACCATCAATGGCCAAATACTCAAGTTAAGATTCCGACCTCCATTTTTGACACCGCCGGTGTCAATAGAAAGATCCCGACGAGCTGAGTTCAACGACATGCGGCACGACCTCCAACCCCGCCGGAATCAGCCGCAATCGCCGGCGGAAGTTCTGAAA